CGGACTATGGATGTAGCTGAAAATAAGCAAAGGTTCGCACCAAGGAGTCGAACCCGAGACTCTTACGGTGAGCGAGACACTTATCACCAGGGTGAAGCGTGCGCTGAGGAATCCTCGACATGTCACAGAGGGGGGGTCGTATTGGCCCGCTGGGGAGAGATCGGGCCCGACTGATACAGTAGGATCATCGTCGGACGTCGGACGACAGGACAAACATTAAGGATCGAATCGATACCAGGCCAGAGTATTTCCAATAACAATTGATTCCGTCCACACAAAATCTTCGTGATTTAGAGGTGTCCGCTTAGCAATTCTTAGTGACTTTAGTGTTTCATCACCACACAAGTCAAAGGATCCGAAATTCGCACGTTTTCTAGGGATATTTTATCTTTCAAGTAGGTCCTCAAATCCAACGAGATGTGAAGCACACGGCGCATCCCAGAGTGGGCCCAGTTGGTTGCGCGCGCTTCAGCTACGGCTATCTTGATAACGAATCTTAATTCAGGAAGAATCAAGAGGGTTCTGAAAGAGTTCATGTTAAATTACAGAGAGGAGTACACTATTCAACAAGAAACGCAGCCTTCAGCGTCAAATTCACAAGCATGTAACCTTTAAAGTTGAGACCCGCTAAACAATTTTACACTTTTTGCAGAGAGAAAAGCACGAGGATTTTGAATCTGCTCCTACTTCAGTATGTAATCGCTCCTGCAAGGAGCTATAGTCGTTGGGATAGTGCTAATGTAGCGAAAAAGTACCTTTCGGCGGTACTCGGGCAAAAATCCTCAACGTGGCCATTTTTTAAATAGTGAACGTATTTAGCAGTTTTAGTTGCCTATAGAAAGAGCAAATCTTCTAGTTTATGATGACGTATTAACTTTCCAGATTGCATGAGTTTGAACGGAGTTATGGCTTTGGAAAGCGTAAAAACTCGCACTCATCACGAATTTTCTCGTTAATTGCAAAATCCTCGAAGTTAGCATTTCGTTTGATAGAGAAAATCTTCTTTTTTGTATGACGTATCAACTTTTTGAATTTGACGGAAATGAAGCAAGTTATTGCTCCGGAAAGTGTAAAAACTCGTGCTCGTCTCGAATTTTCCTCGTTATTTGATCTAAATTTGTTATTTCTTATAACTTCCTGTAATTTCAGTACTGATTAGAAAAAGCTCTTCACAAAACTCCCAAATCTGCTTTCAGATTGAAAATTCGTTAACTTTGAAGAAAGTTATAATCATTTGAATATTTGTTCAAATTTCAATAGTAAATAAGCTGCTCCACGGTCAACGCCAAAGTCCAGTCAACACACAGCTGGCGAAGGCGGTTACAAGGCTTCCTTTGAGCGAAAGGGGGACGTGTAAATTGAGAACCATAATCTGTGTAGTACTAGAATTTGGTAAGTCTTGTGGAGGAAATAAATAAAGAAGAGATGTTGTCATAGTATGCCATTTTTAGTGACTAGTTTGTCGTTTTTGCTCCGTTTCTCGTTTGCTCGTTTGGTAGGACTCATCAATAATGATCATTCTTTGACTTTTTCACTTTTGTACTTCTTAAACGAATTTTTTGTGGACGGTGGGGTAGCAGGGCTTTTTTATGAGCAGTTTTGGTGGAGAATTAAACAACTTTTTCATAGTTCGGCTTTTGAAGAGGGTTGTTTCATGGACTTCGGCCTTCGGCAGAGGGAGGGGGGGTCGTATTTCCGAATTTTCCTCGACGCCTCGCTTGACCCTGCTTACCACTAGGCCACCAACCCTGTGGCAAGCATGCTCGCTCGGCCGAACATCCATCAGATACATTAGGGGACGGGATAGTGTCACAATGGGAAAAGTACCCCCTACTCGTAACTCCGTTCAGAGAACCGTTTAGCAGCTACGGAAAGCAGTTTTGAGATCATCGTCTCAAGACGAATGCACCGATGTACACCTTATTGCGAATGGCCGGACCGGCCTGGTACCTTCTCTCGTTAGATGTATTACATAACATATTTAGTGGGATTACAATAGGCCATGTGTTCATTATATAAGATGTGAACTACTAATTCTAAGAAGATGTTATATTCCATACGTGCATAGAATACCAACAAAACTGCTACCAACTGCGCTACGGAGGCTCACCTTCAGTGCCTCGGTTTTCCTTTCAATACTTTTATAATGCAGCTAACATGTGATTGCAGGCAAAACACTGAAAATCAAGGGCGGCAACAAAAACCCTCCGTAACTCCTTTCAGAGAAGAGTTCAGCAGATAATGAAAGCAGATTTGAGTTCAGCGTCTCATGCTGCGTACAGAAATGTGCACCTCATTTCATTTGGCCGGGTTGGCCTAATGACCTTTCCTGGTAAGAGACGCGTCTGTTTAAGAAGTGATGGCAATAGGTTGAAAAGGATTCACAAACAAGCAGCACAGCTAAATTTGTTTCATTCCACACCGTTGAAATATCAGATTGTCCAGTAATTCTTTAGCCGCAGAGTATTCACTGCTACGAAACCTCTAGAGATTTGATTTCCGAAAAATGACGTCTGTGAAGTAACATGCGCTTTGATTTGACCGGCTATGATTGTGGCCGGCTCATTCCTCCTTGTCATCGTTTGATACCCTCACTCATACATTCGATTCAAAAGTGGTTTGTTTGCTTTGAACTCTAGACACCTTTTGACTCATAATATCAGGGCTCTACATGACGCTGTTTAGAGGGAATACGCACTGTCTGACCGTTGTTTGGTTTGTTTGTGGGCATTTGTAATGCAAGTGCGGCAGTGAGCTAATATGACGTCACCATCAATCGGGAATATTTGGAAGCATTTTCCCACATTTGTTCCTTCCATTGGCTATCCAGCTGCGATACTGGGTAACGATAAGTGATGCTTACATTGAGGTAGATCACACCCCAGGTCACACCACACTGGTTTGGTTCTTGCGCACGAAAATGGAAGCACTGGTACGAAGTGGGCCGATAGTACAGGAAAAAAGAATTCGTCGAGAACACTGAAAATGCTGTGCTCATTAGCTAAGGCAACAAGAAACTGAACTCGAAGGAGAGAGAACAAGCAAGAGAGCACAGAGGCCAGAATGTGGCGAAAAAGAAAAAATGCAACCGGTTTTTCAAAGTGTTAGTGCCCTAGCTGTGCACTTCAGTCAGAAGAACGGGATGCCTCTGGCCTTGTGGGGAGCTCATCCTCTCTCCACTGAAAGGATGCAGTGGTCAGGAAGTGGTCACGGAAATTCCTATGGAGACGATAGGGAAAGCGACATAGTGGATTGGGTACCTACCCAATGGGACGACAGATGACGGGGCGCCTTATCAACGGCGTGATAAGGCGCCGAAACCCACTTCCGGTTCGGCGTTGCACCTCCTTATCAGACGTGGAAGGGGATGCAACAGCAGCGTGCTAGATATGATACGGTTATCGTTATCGTTCGATTTTCATGCTGGAGTGCACCTCATTCCAAGCAGCCGTATCTTCTTATCTAATCGTATCGTATCTTCCATAGGGTTATGCTCGTCCAACACTATCTATCTCCGACCTTATCGGTTGATAACGCGAGTTCGCGATCCACGTGGAAGCCAGCGTGATCGCTTCCTTTAAAGGAAGCGATGTGAGTACTGTGTAGGCATATGAAACTGACACAAAACATCAAAAACACACGTGCTCTCAACATGAAAACTCATCGTTTATCAACAATGAAATTGGGTGCCCGCGGACAATACTCGAAAATGAAGCTCCATTTCCCCTTGAAAGGAGGCTACTGCACCGATACACTGCTATAATATTACTACCTGTGTGTGTCACCTGCTGTTAAAGTTTTACTGCGAAAGCTTGAGTTTTGAGGAAATTACGTTTAAAAAAGTGAAAACGAATACTTCACTGCACGGCACTGTGGGTATGCCGCCACATTACATTTTTTTCGTATATGCCCAACTTCTTCCCAAGGTTTTTGTGTTCATTCTATACAGCCGTACATACAACAAAAACCAAAAGCCACGTGGCTCTTAGAATGACCCTTTCATTGACGTAAATGCATAGACAAAAAAGTAGTAGAAGTGATTACAAACCTATTCACCTGGCAGGATATATGTTTTCACTAAGGCAGCTACGTTCAAAACAATATTGGAACCACTATAGCGGAAGCAAGTAAAATTTGCCTTCTCCTAGTAACAAATTACTTTGGTCGAACTTCCGTTACTGTAACTCCCGACAAGTTGAACACGATAAATTTTTAAATTGCATACTTTGCAAATTCTATAGGTCACAAATTGTGGAGCTGAGATAGCTCATTTTGTACACAGCATGGCCGTTCCCGTGCACTTGCCGTTTTCACTAGAATTCTTTCGGGAATTGTACAACATTTGTAGGTATGATAGGCATATAATCACGCCGGAAGAACGTCATTCTGTCGATCCGTTTGCTGTCGGACCAGGTGCGTCTTCTGCTTTCCCCTACACCCTTTCTGTTGATTCAGTGCATTGACCTGGTGTTTTGGTGCAGTCGGGTGCCTTTGATGCAACCTACATAGTGCAGGTTGGTCCACTGAATGGTGCACTCATCTGGTGCAATACCTACTAGTGCAGGTATATTAATATTCAGGGTGTATTGTGACATCCGTTGGATTTTGTATTCCTTTAGGTGTGTATGGCATTTCTGCATGGCATTTTTGACGTCGCTAATGCTTTTAAATTTGTTTTTTGCCTTTTCTCGTTTAATTACCCAAGTTTGGGATTAGACAATAAATTGTTTACTACACCATGTGGCAAACTATCTATCACACCCAACTCCTCGTTGGTTGGATACAAAATGCACTTTTCAAAACTAAATTTGTTCACGTTTGAATCAAACGATGTTCGCTTGATATCTGTGCAACTGACTGTGTAACTGACCACTCGCACACTGAGCATGCTTTCATAATCATACTATTATATAAGATAAAATATTGCAATTCAAATGCAAATCGACTGGCTCATACATAAGTCGATATCTAGACAAATTTGTGCGTAGTAGGTGCTTTACCTATTCCGCTGCGGTTGAAGCAGCTGGTGGCCACGCATTTTCGATATATTCTTTGATTTCAGGAAGATTACGCATGTTTGCGTAGTATGTCTGGAGGTCCGGAAAATCTTGTAGAACATCAGGTTTCAGCTCCTCCATCATTGATAGCACGCACAACGCCACAAGGTCGCACCATAATATCTGAAGTAATCTCGATAAAAAACTGCCCGTCTGGGAAAGCAATGAGAATTTATAAGCAATAAGAGAACAACATTTTGATGGTCTGGGAATTTGTGAGCACCAACAAGAGCCGAAACTTAGTTTGGTATTAAAGAAGATATCTTGTCATGGCTGAAAAATTTGAATCTTTCAATTGGGGTTATCCTTACGAAACGATGAAGAACTGCTTGAGAAAGTTATGTGGGGTGGCAAGAGGCACCGTTATCCCAACCAGTACAACGGCCAAACCAAGCCAAGGCAGCGCTAGCCAACCACCACTCATTATTTCAATTGCCTTCCTCCAGCAAACGCGAACTGGAGAAAAGTGAAAGCAGTGTATAAACCATCACCTCTACCCTGCCGTCCAAGTGAAGGCCAAAACATCAAATAAAATTCTAAGTGGTAATTCTAAGTGAGAGCTGGGTGCGTCGCACGCGCGCGTACCATAGTGGGGAGTACCATACTCTCACCTGTAAAGAACTTATGTCGACGAAAAGTTCAAAAGTGCCCAATAGGAGACTAGTTTACGCCTATCTTTGCAATGAAAACGTGCCCCTTTATGCACTGAATAGTATGAGACCGTTGAGTGAAAGAGTAGGGGAAAAATCGAATATCATAAACGGAAGCGGAGTTCCAATAGTAGGTAATGGTTCTACCTTTCTTCCGACGAAATTTTCTCCACCATTCTCCTTCAACAGATCCTCCAGCATTCTCAGGCGCTCGGGATACTGCTTTTCAAAAATAGCATCTTTTTTCTCCTAGAGTTGCACATTATTCAATCTTTTTAGCTCTGCTTGGAATGTTCTTTAATACCTTCATCGCTTCATCTGGCTCATATTGTCGCTCAACTGCAATGGTGAAGAGATCCATAAATGATTCAGCATACATGTCACACTTGGCCGATTCCGATTTTGTTGCACCAGCGAAGTCTGGGTGTGTAAGAATAATGTTTTTTTTTTTCACGCAGTTTCCTCACAATTAGTCGCTTTTTTTTTGCACCCTACACAGGTGCTCCAGGAGTAAAGTCAAAAGAAAGAAAAGGATCAGCAGTGACTTGAAGGCAGTGGGATGAAGGGGGTGGCCACCAACGAACTATACGCACATATGGGTGTGATAGACTGAAAGTCTGGTTATAGTGTTAGTAGCAAGGTATAGTGTTTTCGCCAGCAAAAGTTGCACCTCGTATAGATTCCAAACCGGAACCGCATTTGCCTAATCGCCCTCATCATCTTCTGCATTTTGTACCAAATGGCCATATCTTGAGGTCTTGTCGTGTCCCGTATTCTGAAGGGATACCTTGACTCCAACAGCCGATTCCAGGTAGGGTAAACATGATGCCAAAAACAGCGGACGGAATGAGGGGTCACCCTGCGACAGTTTTCTAACTTATCCTTCCGCATTTTTTGATTAGCACTCCTACTTCCATTCCAATTCCACACTGAAATATCGTGCTAACCGCTTTCAGAGGAGGATGTAACGATAAATAGGGCTTGGAAAAAGGGAAGTATGCATATGCAAAAGGAGCGCGCCTCCAGGAGGTACTACAGACATGTGTCGCGGCGAAGGGTGCGTACATCGCCGCGGAGGTAACCCCAACCCTGGCCGGTCATGCCGTGGCTGGCCCGTCTCCTCCGCCGTACTTTAAAAGGGCACTATAGTGTTGAGCCGGCCGTACGCAGCTTTCTCATATGCTATACGAAGTTATGATATTTGCTGGAATGATACCGACTATCGAAATTAGCATGGGCAATCGTGCTCGTCTTAACATGGCCCGTCGATTGCGGAAATCAAAGGGGCGAAAATCTCCCATTTCTCGGGTCTTTAGTCGTTTTCTCTGGAAATCTCCTTAACGAGTGCACCCTCCAAACCCTCTACCTTCAGCTTTCCTAAGCAGACCATCCACCCAAAATCGACGGAGCCAACAGTACGATCGTATACCAGCAGCCCCTATAATACCGAAAGGGTTACCGGAAGAACATGACCATTCAACCAAGCAATTATTCATCCGTACGATCGCAGTGCTTCTTAATTGTGAAATTGAGGTGTTTTGTCTCTGATAGAGTATAGGCAATCCAAAACAAAATTTATGCTAATTGATGAGAGGAAGCAACACATAATGCGCGACAGAAACACGGTTTTTGACTGTCCCACTGCCGAAGGTATTGTTGCGTGGACAGCTATTTCTGCCTTAGCTAACCATAAGCTAAAAAAGAAAAAACCTCTACGAACAGAGGATCGATTGCTGTAACTAGAACCACTTGCAATTTTGAACGTTTAGAGCATAGGAATAGCCTGACCAGACGCTTGTTCCGCTGTGATTTTGAGAAGTCTATTTTTACTTGTTGATCGAAGTGCTAATTAACATAGTGTTCATGAAAAATCTCTTTTTTTTTTCCATTAGCAGCAGTACGTCCTGAGGTTGATGCAAACTTATACGCTGTTTATTGTTGACAGCTTCTCCAAATATACCGATTAATTTTGTCGAGTTGCATAAAAACCAAGAATAGTCAGCAAAATGAAGCCAAAATCAACGGCTAGTTTTGCATCAACCTAATGGTTAGCCAGCAAACGACAGCCTCCACACATTCATTAACCCTTTGGCGACAATGGCACCCACCGTTGGGTGCTACTCTGTTCGTCGCGTGGGACAATGGCACACTTTTGTGGTGTTCTTTGCGCATTTGGAACATCTTCAACATCTCTGTATTCATAAGCAGGCTTCATAATGCCTATGTTTAACAGAGCTTACATAAATGTAGAATAATAGCTAATCTATGGGAAATTTTAGAATGTGACATCTAGCTTGCCAGCATCATAACAGGGGTCGCGATTAGGCTCAGCACAAACTACTAATAGGATTTCTTCTTTTTTCACACTCTTGAAACAAGGGAAGGTTTAAAGGAAGTAGGTACGGAAAGGAATTTTCACATCTGCGGAGAACCTGCTCCCCACAGAGCAATTAGCAGGCCGCCAAGGAAGCGATGTGTGGCGCTTCCACTGCGAACAGTGCTGTGGTTGCTGAGCAGGACCATTGCGCCCTTCCGCCCCATGCGCCGCCCCGCCCACTGGTTTTGTTGATGATCTGGATGGACTGATTGCTGTTGGCTTTTCATTTTGGATGATCTTTTCCCATCTAGCGGCTGTATCTTCCATCTTGCCCATGTTATGCCTTATCAATCAAAACACTATGCTTGTTGGCATGATGGCGGCTATCGGGGTTAACACGTCCGAACAACGTCATTCTTTACCGTCGCTCATCCATGGTCGAAAATGAAAGGGCAATCAAAGGGGTACTATTTTTGCTTATTTTTGACGGATTTCTTTGCTTTTTTCGCCATTGGCGTACTATTGAGACCCCCTCGTCCCCTCTAAACCCCTTTAAACCTAGCGTAACCGCTGCCTTTAACTGTATCGAAAACACCATTGTGCACGCAAACTTCAACTTTCAGCTTCCATACCTTTAAAACCCGATTTCTCCTAACATTCTTCCAAATTTTCTGCCAGCAATATATAATGCGGACCCCAGCTATATATAGTGCACTGCTAGAGTCAAAAATCTGATAAACAAAATGTTTTTAGAGACAATTTTGCCCAATTTGAGCGATTTTTGGGCGCGCCAAAACAGGCGTGGTCCCACGAGCACGCTACGTGCAAATCCGCATTGTCGTCAAAGGGTAATGACGCTTTAAGTCATTTTCTGAGATTAAAGTATATAAATGGATGAGACAACTCGAAGATTGTAGACACTCTGAAAGTGTAGATCTTTGGGACCAACCATACGTTCCTATGAGTATCGTGCCTGATAGAAAGAGGGATTCAGGAATGGGGCAGCATGCTCGAATAATGCATTGCCGTTAACTGAATCGTTTTCGAAGATTGGTTGCACGTCTACAACTTTGTCATTATCGGAAGAGTGTCATTAGACATTAGCTCGTAGGTGTCACCCCAGGTTTGATGAACAAAAGCAGTTGAATGCCTCCTATAACAGCACAATGACCTGAAACAAGGCACGGTGGTGGGTGTGACATTTTCATGAGAACCCGATGGAGCTTGGATGATGTGCTTCACTTCGCAAGTGGAAAGAATCTGTTGGAGCATGATTTACGTCAGGAAAATAGGACGACTGGTGCGCCGCACTTGAAAGCCCCAGTAGGTCGATGTCAGACTCTGAGAATTGAACGATTCGGTGTACGCGGCACGACCGCACATGCTAGCGAATCCCTGGATTCGCAAAGTCTGACATCGGCCGCAAGAGGAGAACATGAGAAAAGTTTGCACTAAGCGCCGCGCATTCATGATAAATTGAAGGCTCCAGCAGACCCTATACCGCATCACTTGTTCACTTGCTCAATCACAACACATCAAGCAGTCTTATGAATGAAGAAACATCCGATCAGCAAAATAGTTAGAAAGTACTCACAACTGGTGGGTTGTAGTGATTTGGCAAGATATCTGCAGATGGCTAGCGTTTGGCCCAGTTTGAGTTTGCCTTCGTCAACCACCAAGTATGGAACTTTTCCCATTGGAGCATCTGGGAAATTAGTTATTATCGCATCACAGGCAAGAAAAAACCTGTTCTCAGTGGCTGCATATTTCACAAAATAATGTGTCCATTTCAGTGCTCTCGTGCTTTTCATCTTACCTCTGGTTCAGGTGTGAAGAGGTATTAAGGTACGTAACATCGGTATTCATAAGCACGGTGGTTCGGGGATCAAATTTGGGATCGAATCTCGCTCAAAGCAAGCGAGCCTCTCATTCTAGCGGCTGCAGGGCAAAACACTAACTTGGAGTCAAATTCTGATATATTGTGTCTTGTAGATTTGGAAAACCTTAAAGGCAAAGGTCGGGATTAGTTGACCAAACCAACCCTTTCGGTCATCTCTGTACTTGGTTACGCACCCGTACAGATGTTCCCACGCTCAAAATCTCGAACGGCGCGGTAATAAGGCCCCGGGGTTAACGTGTGAAATCAGCTAGGTTGATTGCCGTATCAACCGATAGAACGACTGACATCTCCAGAAAACTTGTTTGTACGTGCCTCTTCCCCAAGCCAGCCTCCTTCACTGCTAGTGGGAAAGAGGGTTTTGTTAACGGCCTTGTCGACGGTTTTTCTCAGTTTTTTCTCCACTGTCGTTCCACTTCGCATCTCTATACTCAGTTTCAATCGCCATAATACCCCTTATTGAGCCCGACTTTTGCCTTTAACTCCGAGGATTCAACGCATTTCGAGGAGGCTTCCACGCTAAAACCGAAGGTTAAAGAAGTGAATTATACAGTATCGAAAGGCAGGGAAGGGTGCGGGATGAATCGCGTTCGCAGCTAATAGCATGCCCCTGGCGGCTTAGTAGGGCCGTACCCGCGCAGCTCTACCTACCCCCCCCCCCTCCAAAGCCCGCCGGCAGGTGCCCCTCGACTTCTGACTCTAGCCGTTGAGCAGAGAGAGAAAAAGAGAGCGTTGAAGGGAGCAGCGTTGATGAGAGTCGCGTCAACGGGCAAACGAGTCTCATTGGCTTGGTTCTAGCCATTCTCATTGTTTTACTTTGATACCTGCACCACACCACATCTGACTTCTAATAAGCTACCAAAGCTTCAGCTGGTCTTTGAAACTTTGTTAAGAGAAAAAATGTGAGCAAAAGTAAGAAAATTTAACTAAAAGTAAAACAAAATGCGTGAAAACATTTTGGTGAACAATTTTGATCGTTAGTGTAGGTGATGAGGTGTCTGCATCCTCTTTTTCAATATACTCTTCCACATATTCTCTCTTCCTCGTAGCATAGTAACTTGTGAGAACAGAGTAGATGATATGGTACGACACCGCCTTGAGGAAAAGATCACTCTTCGCACCGGTGGTCCTGATCGGGTGGGACGTACCGTATGAAAGGCCGGCAATGAGGCGGTCTTCTGATTCGTCCAGATCGCTTCAGATTCACCGCTTTGCTTGTCATCTGGTAGAACCCTACTGCCAGACACACAGAGATATAATCACTATTTAACAACATTCAAGAACAGGGACATAGGCCCAGAAGCGCACCTTACTTACTTAGATACTTAGACGACCCGTTGATCAGCACGGCGGTTGGCCTTGCGCGGGTCCCAACTTCTTTTCCATTGCTCGCGGTCTTGGGCTTTCGTTGTCCAGTGTACGGCCACCTTAAGGGACACAGGATCATACACGTTGTTTCTGTATGCCAAAGAGTCTGCCCAACGTAAAGGAGGGCGGCCAAGTGGCCGTTTCTTCTCGCGCGGATACCATTGAGCAGTCTTCGAGCTCCAACGTCCATCGTTTCTTCTGATCAAATGCCCAGCAAATCGGTGCTTCGCTTCATTGACGTGAACCAAAACGTCCTTAATCTTCGACATAGCTCTGACGTCAGAATTGTGCAGGCTCAGTTCTCGTTGACGGCTCAGCGTTAGGCCTATCAGACGACGTTCAATTGATGCCTGAGCGGATTGAAGCCTCTTTTCTAGCGATTTTGTTAAGGCCCAGGTTTCTCCAGCGTAGCTGAGGGCAGGTAGCACTGACGAATTGAACAGGTCGGCCCGGAGCTTCCGATCCTTGGTATCCTCTGCAACACTTCTTATTGAGTTAAAGGCGGCCCATCCAGCCTTACGACGTCTCGCTAGCTCTCCGGAAAGATCGTTCTTCATGTTCAGCTGGCTCCCAAGGTATATGTACTCCTCAACGTCTTCGATTGGACTTCCTTTTAAGAGTACAGGGGCGCTAGCTGAGAATGCATTCCGCATGACCTTCGTTTTGGAGGTGTTGATAACGAGACCGCAATGACTTCCTTCCTCGTCCAGAAGATTTAGCATCTCAGATGCATGCTCTGGCGAATCCGTAATCAAGACGATGTCATCGGCAAATCGGAGGTGATTCAAACGCATGCCGTCGACGTTGATTCCTTGGCTGCTCCAGTTGCAGCGGCGTATCACGGATTCCAGACAGGCAGCGAAGAGGTTTAGGTGATATTGGATCACCTTGTCGCACGCCTTTCTCAACTGCAACAACAACGTCATTGTAGAAAGGGCGAAACACTGTTGAACATTCCGTGTAGCATTCACGCAGCACATCCACGTACACCTTTTCGACGCCTTGGTCTTCCAGCGCCCTCCATACCTTCGTTGGTTCCACTGAATCAAACGCCTTCTTGTAGTCAATGAATGTCATCACCAGAGGCAGTTGATGCTCGCGCGATGCTTCGATAAGGCGTCGACAGGTCATAATATGGTCGAGCGTGCTAAAATTGCGGCGAAAGCCTGCCTGCTCTACTGGCTGAGCCTCTTCCAATGTTCGTCGGATACGCGCCAATATGCAACGCGTAAACACTTTGTAGAATACCGGCAGCAGAGTGATGGGACGATAGTTTGCCAGGTCTTCTTTATCGCCTTTCTTGAACAGTAACACTGTCGATGACTGCTTCCACGCCCTTGGAACAGCACATTCAGCTACATAACGCGTAAACCTCTTAGCAAGGGCTCGATATAAAGGCAGACCGCATGCTCGAAGAAGTTCTATAGTGATGCCGTCTCTTCCAGGCGCCTTGTTTTGGGGCATCGTTTCAACCGCATGGCGCACTTCCGATGTGAGAAAGGGCAAAACTTCATCGGTGCTCGGCGCATCCATTCGAATGACGGGGATGTCTGACTTGAACAGAGCTGTGTAGTATGTTGCCAGAATTTGCTCCATTTCTTGTATCGATGAGCAACGGGATCCGTCTGGAGCCTTGAGGCACGGAATCCTCAAGCGGTGTTCGGCAATCCCTTTTCTGGTTCTCTTCAGGCTCCGTCTGTTTTCCGCCTCGTCTAGGAGTCTTGACCTTATGAAGTTGGCATGGTCTTCAGCAATCCGTTTTCTACACAACCGGCTGAGTAGAGTGTACTCCAAGTGGTTTCTTTGTCTGTCCATGTGCCTGCGTTTCTCGAGAAGAGCGCGAGTAGCTGCAGTGATACGACGAGCATTATGATTCGGAGCAGTACGGCGACAGCTTTCTCCAAGTCTTGTTACCGCTTGCACGAGGCTATCGTAATCGGTGTTGACGTCACCAACCATTTCAAAGTGTTCTTCGCTTGCAAGCCTTGAGACAGCGTCTACGTCTAGCACGGTAGGTGTGGAATGTCTTGAGCGTATGCGCATCAGGCGCACTAGGCTGCGGTCGAAATGGAATCGTCCTCGGAGTAGACGGTGATCGCTACCCGTGTTGAACGAAGGCACCACTGCAACATCTGTCATGATTCTACGGTTGCATAAGATGTGATCCAACTCATGACAATGCTGCCCATTCGGGGTTACGTGAGTCCATCTTCTTTTCGGCGATTTGATGAACTGACTATTGCCGTGATAGAAATGATGGAGTTCGCAAAAATTCGCTAGTCTCTGCCCAGCTTCGTTACGATCTTCGGCTGAATGTGGACCGATGAAGACCTCCCCGGCTCTCCTTGATCCAACACGAGCGTTGAAGTCACCCATTATCACGACGTAGTTGCGTTGACTGCGAATGAGTTCTTCCAGTTGCTCATAGAAGTCATCGTGCTCCTCTTCATCACTGTCTGCTATAGGCGCATAGACTTGCACCACCGCTATCTGTATGTCCCTCGAGAGCGAAGCGGTTAGCACGGCGAGCCGATGACTATGGAACGTTACACTTCGCACATGTTTGGAAAACTCCGGTGACACTATGAAGCCAACGCCTCCTGATGTTGAGTTAGACTTGCGGGCTCCTAGGAATACTGACGTCCCATCGGTCCACGTGCAGGACAAGGGCTCCTTCCGCTTTGTTTCACTGAGGCCGATTATATGGTATTTGATCCGTCGAGCTTCATCGATAAGTGTAGAAAGCTGAGCGGCCGAACTGATGCTACGGCAGTTGTAGGTACAGGCAATCAGTTGGCTCGCTCTTGTCCGTCTCCTTTGGTAGCCTACGGCCCTGAGATTTCCTCGCCTTCGGCTGTTTGCTGATCCAGCGCTACCGGACTGGGCAGGGACAGCCTGCAGGGGACTAAGGCAGTTATAAGAAGTGGTCGTGGTATTTTCGTCCCACGGGATAGCCTTACCAGGGCGTTCCCGTTGCTCAAGGAGAGCGCCGTCCCACCAAGGGCTTGGGCACTTTGGGTTCTTTAGTCACGGGGAATCGGTATGGGGTTTCGGCGCAGCCCTATCTGAAGGATATTCCGATCCCGCCTCAAGCTCGTACACCACTACAAGGTAGAACCCATGTACAAGAGAAAGCGCACCAAAGCTGACAAGTCTCAAAAATAAAAGGAGCTCTGGACTTTATCATTTTCATTGGTTTCGGTTTTTACTGCTTCCTTATTAGCTGTTTACTTCATTTCTCTACAGTCCCTTTCGAATAACCGCATCTTGTAGCCCTCAAAGCCGCTAGTGAAAGGAAACCTTAAAGGAATCTTCCTTGGAAAAGCTCCGCCTCCATTACCACAGAAAAACGATACCCCTTAGGCCCCTAGCCTCATGAGCATAGCAAAAAGAACGGAACATAAGCGTTAGTTTCGATAATACTAATCCTACACACAAGACAAAATGATCACTCTTTCCGTGGAAGATTCCTTTAAGGTATCGTTTTCTGTGGTAATGAGGGCGGAGCTTTTTCCGTGGAAGATTCCTTTGAGTAAAACGGTTGGACTATTCTGTACCTATCGGTTTCCCGTAGTAATTTAGATGTAGCGCCAGCTTCATAACCTTCGGAAATCTTCATTAATTGTATTCGGATGGGCGCCGAATTAATGTGTTGAGAATCGCAAATATTCTTGAAGTCTCCCTAAAGCTTCTTTTCGGTGAAACTGGTACCTGGTTTTTGCGTCAACCATTCATCCGCTTCCATCCGATGGTCTTCGTATTTGACATCATGGTAGACAAAAATCAGCCGAATCGGTTCTCCACGTCCACGGACATTGAAGTAATGGAGTGTGTAAGTGTGCTTCTGATCGGACATCTGAAACATCAAACAATGACAACATCACAGGGCGGGTATGGGAAAATCACAACCAACTGAAGAGAGTGGAATGAGATCTCTTTGGCAAGAAAGAACATTTTATTATATACATTTTAGACCTATGAAAAAAAAACTCTGCCTTTGACCCTGCCTTCTCGATGCAGTCTTTTTCATACAATAACTATATGCATGGGGGTTATAAAAAACAATCGAAAAATTTTTTCTCTGTAGCGCAGGCGCAAGTGTTCCTGAATTCCCACGGTGTGTAAAGTTTGATTGAACTTCACACGGTTTAGTTCATTAGTGTTTGGGAGAGCACATATCGCTCACAACATCCATCCGACACAATGCGGCTCCTACTTTGGAAGGAAGGCAGGTCGACCATCACGATGCCTTAAGAAGGTCAGAACTTTTGTGACGCTAGGCTAGCTTGAAGAGGTACGCTAGTGGATGCTTTCCCTTGCCAGTAAAGGGGGGGGGGGGAGGTCTCAATCCCTCGATAGTGGTGATTAACCTTTTTCCGAGCTGGTTCCTATACTTCCCAGTACCATCTTTTGCGCGTTTGCGATGATGGGACCGTCTTGGACTATATTTGATGTGTTTTGGGTTTGAGCTCATTAACACGTTGACGACAACGCGCGTTTTGGGTTTTTGCGCCGCGTGGGACCACGGCGATTTTGCAGGCGCCGCCGCCTCACATCAAATCCGTGAATTTTGAGCTTTAAATACCCAAAACTCGGATGCAACAAAATGTTTAGAATGATATTCGATGTGTCAAACTTATCAGAAGGGACAACTAAAAAAATCGATCGAATTGACGTTTTCTGGCGATGAAAGGCAAGTTTCAGTTGCTTTTGCTGCAGTGAACCTCAAAATTATTTTTGACGCGGTTGCTCCACTAAAACATATGTCTTGCTATATGTGTGGGTCTGTACTTACTTCTACTGCTCTTTTTTATGACCAAGATTATCAGAATATAAAGGAAACTAGGAATGAACACAATTGGGAAATTCGTAGGGCTTAGAAAACCTTTCGCTAAAAAGGAGCATATTCAACCATTCAATGAACCTCGCCGTGTCTAGTCATATTATGGTGTAGTCTATAGAATAGATGCAAAAAATTAGAAAAGAAGTAGCGCATGCGCGAAAAAAATAAATATTTTGTGTGTGCAGCGCATGCGCTGCACACGGTCCCACACGGTGCTCAAGGTGTGATGCGCATGCGCTGCACAATGTCGTCAACGTGTTAATGGAGCCTCCTGAAGGTTCATTTACTTCTTCGGTACTCTTTACAAGTTAGGGCGACTTTTTACTACAGATCTGCAGCTAAGAATTGTATGGCGAGGAAAAATAAAACAAAACAAAAACAACAGTTTACGCGAAAATGTCGCGGTTACCCTCGTTTTCTTCCGACAATATTGCATGTGCGAGCCTGAAGGAATCTTAGTGAGCATTACGCACGCGCTAAGCCTCGAAAGAGTGTGATATCGGGTTCAGAAGTCATCGTTCTTGATCTGACCCTGCAAACACCCCGACAGGTGGGGCGCCCTACAATAACAACCTTCTTGTTCGCAAAGATGGATTGCTTCTGAAGACATCAGCGACTCGAAGCGAATGATATTCATGGATAACAAAGCATTATCATTACCAATGTTCAGATTTCGATCCCACTGAAGATTTGCCCGTGTGGCTTCCTGACGCGAATAGTACACTCGTTTCGCGCGAAAACGCTTGTACGCAAACTCAAGACCAGTGGTTCCAAAAGGAAATTTACCAAAGAAAGGACATTTTACAGCTGAGCAATAATCTAGCACTTATGAAAACTATTCCTGCCCCTTGACGACACACAAGAAAATACGGGGTCCGATCCCAGCTATCGACCTTGCGAATTCGCCTATAACCACTAGGCCATCTTGTCATACAAAATTTTTGGGATCTTTCTCAGCACTGTTTGCAGAATCGACCTGGGGTCCTTCCTTTGGTAGATAATTCTGGAGGACTTAGCTAGAGGTAAGAATTATTTATCATTTATTGATATCAGGTAAAATGTGTAAATGATCGGGCAGAAAATGACACAGATGAACATTTTTTGTACAATCGCTGCGACAAACGTATTGTTCAGTTGTTGGTGATGACCCAATATTTTTTGCGAAGTGGAAAATAAGAGAATAAATGAGATTGTCCACCCTTCACGATGATTTTCAAAAGCACATCCCACAAGTATCCGAGTGTGGATTATTACACAATCAAATGAAAACATAGAAAATTGAGAAAAGAGTGAATAGATGGGAGAATAGTGAAAATTAAAAAAATAATTCTACTCTAATGAAGGGAAGTGAGTGCTGCCTCATTTCGATAGTAAAGCAGGACTCAAAAGATTAATGCAGCGTTAGGTCCCATACCTGTTTACAAGTAAGTGAATCAAGTGAACAGCACTCTAAAGATAAAGGATAAAGCATTTGCCGTTGATCAATCCCTTTTTGGGATGCGGCACGCATTCTACTTCCATTTGTACATTCGTAGTGGCGTTTGAATGCGATGTGGCCTATACAATGACTTGCGGGGGCCAGCCGATGTACAAGTCAGTGTTTTTATCCTCCCAGACAAGTCTGGTACCAATTAACCGACCCCGGAGGGATGGAAGGCTTGGTTGGCCCGGGCGACTCACGACCCAGGATTTGATCCCCGGACCGCTCGCGTGGTAAGCGCGCACTTGCACTACACCACTTCCGCCCCTGAGCAGCACTCAAGGGCTCAAAATTGTGCCAATCTTCGCAGGACTAACATTTGTATCTGCAGCTTTTGTCAACCTAACAAGATTCTTTATCAGTTTTGTCGCACTTTCACAACTTCTTAATGAACAATGCCGTTTTAAAGGACGAATTCACGATCAGAGGGAAAATCGAATTAGGAAGAATTCACCTGGTTGAGGGACCCGCGGAGCTCCTAAGTGTGCGAACTGAAGCACAATTTGCACAGGAGGAGTTGACCTCGTTGACCTATTAAGGTTTAATCCCGCCGCGGCTGGTCAGTGCACGCCCACCGATCATCTGATCACTCGCCGCAGGTCTATACGTGGTGAGTGATTAGATAGGTGAGAGAGCGTAGCGTTGAAGAGGGCACAGCGATGATAGTCGCATCAATGCTCAAATCAACGGGCAATGAAGGGGTCCCATTTCTCGGGTTCTGGGCCGTTTCTCATGGTATTTCCTTCTTTGGTGTACCACTCACCATCGCTAAGGTAATTTGAAATGGGTTGCCTTCCCAGCCGTGATCCGTCCTTTATATTTCGGCGTGTGGAAACAAAGAATTGACCGCTTTCCACAAGTCACACATGAAACCAATGCTGAAAAAAAAAACGAAGTAGCTTGTTGGCGTACCAATTGGCAATGATTCATGGCAATTCGTACGTTTCTGAATTTTTTTTTGGGTTTTTTTTTTTTTTTTTTTTTTTTTTTTTTTTTTTTTTTTTTTTTTTGCCGTTCCCATAGCGACAAAAATCATTTTAAATATTGGCGAATGCTCAACGACATGGATGGGTTGTGGTTTATTATTTTCAGTGCAATGTTTGGGATTTGATATGATTGACCCGACAGTGGGTCCACACGGTAGATTAGGTTGAGAAGGCTTCTATCTATTTGAGAAGGCTTCTAGGCTATCGTCAACCTTCTCAGGAGCCAATAAGCCCAAGCGAATTTGCTTTGTTGCGATGGAAGGATTGATTGGAGATTTGACGGAAGCGGAGACATAATATTGTTAGAGGTGTCCCAATATTCAGAACAAACCCCTTGAGTCCACGCCAGAACTTCTTTGTATTTCTGAGTATGCTGACGAGGCTACGCGTTTCAAGAAAGTCACTCAGTAACTTAGACAAATTGGGCCCGCTATATTTGTTTTCTTTGAGTAAGGAATAGGGAAAGAGAAAGGCACGCTTTTCACACCTTGATTTGTAAACTGCTAGTGAGCCACAAACCGATCGAAGCAAAATGGAGTCTGTCCCTTAAAGGCACAACCCAGGCAGAGGTCGTGTGAACGCTTCCCTTCGGTCTGTAGTATAGACCCCTAGAGGACAATCACAAATGTGGCGTTCCCGTGCACGGAAACCAACCGACAAGAGCGCTTGGGCCTTGCAAAGTAAGCTGCTGAAGCTGCAGATTTTTTCTCTTATCAGGCTGTTGTCTGGCGCTCTCTCATCTGTAGCGCTCTCTCGCCTCATACTCTCCTCTCCGCGCTTAGTCTCTCATTCCCTTAGCACAGCCGATTAGGAAGGTGAGTGAGCCCTTAACCTAAGCGTTTTCGACGGATTCTTTTCCTTTTTTCTTTACTGCCGGCCCATTTCGCACCAATACATTCGCATTCGTGTGCAAGAGCCACACCAATGTGATCCTGGGGCATGCTTTTAGATACATTTCATTATCATTGCCTACCTTGCGGTATCATACCTCTTTCCTCCAAGAAACTACGGCCTAGGAAAAATCCTTTGTTTACGAAGGGCATTTGCCGTGGGATTTGGACCAGCCCCTTTCAGTGAAGCCCTTATGAGTCAATTGGCTCTGTGGCCACCAAGGTAGTTTATAACATGCTTCAGGTAAACTGTTCGTGAAGGTCTTTGCTCAGACGGAAAATTGTTGAAGTTTGGCCAAACGGTAACCTCAGAATGACCACTTTTGATAAGAGTGGGAGATAAGTACAGCTTGCAAATTCTTTTATAGTCTAAAGTCTAGCATAAATGGACGGAACAACGTCATTACTGCGGGTAGAAGTGACGGTCTGTTAAAGGCAAAAGTCAGGCTCGTGTTTGGGCATTATGGCGCCTGAAATTGAGTGTAGAGATGGGAGGTGGAACGACAGTGAAGAAAAAACGCAAAAAAACCGTCGACAAGACCGAAATCGAAACCCCCCTTCTAGCAGTGAAGGAG